GTGATATTGGCGTGTGTGAACCTGGTCACTTATCACCTGTCAGTGCTGATGAAGACAGTCAAGGTAAGTTTACATTCGGCTTCTACTACAGTTTTGGTATTGTTATTGCTTTTGTTTGCGGTCGCTGAGTTTTATGGTAAAATATTTCTGCCCCACCAGGGCTCTTTTCTGTTACGTGCAGGATATTCACTGTGATAATTATGTCTGTTAATTTTATGTTATGTATTTATAACATCAACTACAATAGGTATAACTAACTACCAATTTGTTACTTTGTTTAGGCCAGTATTTTTTAGTTGTGATTAGGGGTATTACCTTATTGTTTACATTCCTGTTAATAATAGAATATGTATACAATTTTGAGGACTTTTTATCTCAGTGCATATTTTAAAAATAGTATTATGGTGAAGTAATTTGAATAAGTAGTAAATTAAATTGTTTGCACACGTTGTTAAGTTACAGAATTAACAATGCATTTATTTGTAGGTGACAGGAGTGCGGACTTCAGTCCTTGTAGCGATTCCAGTGAAGTTGGCCACAAGCCAAGTACGTAAAAGCTCATTCTTTCATGACATAGGTGGAGTAGCTGTAGGTTGATGTGATAGAAGATGATTAATGATGATGGTTTCAAAACTACTATGTACATATTCTAATATTTTGTTACAGGTGGTTCATCTGTAGATGCTAGGTTCGGAGATATTGATGAGCGATTCCCAGCAATTCATAAGCATCGGAATCCTACTACAACTTCAGTGCCATCTCCTCCAGAACCATCTATGCCAGGCAAATTTCAACCTGGACCATCTCAGTGGAATGATGTACACCCTCGCTTGGGGTCGGGTCGTTGGGAACCGGCACCAAGTCCTTGGATACGTGGTGCGCTTGGTTCAGTATCAGTACCTATAACTCAAGGTCACTTGGGCACGCACATGCGTATGCTTCATCCAGGTCCAAATCAAGGACAGAGTAGTCCCTTTCAACGATCCTCAGGGCCAGAATTTCAACAGATCAGCAGTTTTGGTGGAATTAACCGTTGGAGACCTCCGCAGTTCCAGAGTCGTGCACCGTTTGAAGGAGACGTAGACAGGTGCGCAAACATTAGAGCATAGTTTGATCATTTCAGTCTTTCTGGATGAAAGGTGGTTTTTAGGGATATGTGATTAGAAAGGAAAATATTTAAAACATAAACAGAATATTTTAGAATTAAGTGTATTTCATATTTTAATGATCGTTTACAGATATTATTGTATATATTCGACAAGAAGGTAAAGTTTTTCATAAGCATTTTTTGTTTCCAGGTTTGAGTCACGTTTTAGTGGCCGTTCAGATAACAGATTTCGGGGATCTGCTCCATCTACGTTGCAACAGCAACAGTCACGTGCAAATGATGAACTCCCACCAGCAGACCCCTTGATTCTTGATCTCATAGCACAGGATACTATGAGGACTATTAATATAGATGGTGTACCAAGGGAAATTCGTTTTTACGGTGACACGGCTGTGGTGATGCTAGCATGGGATGACCCAAGAGAAATTGGTTTCCAGGGTGGTTCCCGAAGGGTCATATTTGATGACAGAGAGACTGTACTCTGTTCATTCAATGACACATACAGAGAGTGCATTATAGATGGAACTACCCACAGGTTAGTGCTTGGCATATACATCTGTATTTATATTAGTCTTCATAAATATGTGTTATTTTACGTGTTGGCTGTCCACAGTATCAAACAGAGTTTAGCGTGTTCTATTTAAGATGTTGGAATATATATATTCATTTAAATCTGAAACAGTTAAACAATCGAAGGTTTAGAATGCAGAAAAAAAATATTTTAAAAGTTCTCTTTAAAATACAACTACCAGAACAGTATGCATATTTGTCATGATGGTGTACTTGTACATGGGGTTAATTCAGTTTGCTTCCATCATTTTATCATGTGCTGAATCTTGTATATTCCCACATAGCAATTTGTGCTACCCAAATCAAATCCTCAAATATAATGCACATACTTAAATACTAGTTGTATGTAATTAAGATCGCTTACTATTTACATTCACAGGATACGACTTGGTGCACCAACTCGTGAACTTTATGTTGATGGTAAGTGGTACGAGTGTTTCTTTGGAGGTTCTCCAGTCACAATTGATATCGGCGGCAAGATGCATGTTGTGAAGTTGGAGGGTCCACCGCCTCAGGTTAAAATTGGCTTTGTGAAGAGGACAGATCTGGTAGCTGGCAAGATAAATTTAATCATCAATGCCAAGAATATGGTTCCTGTGTTCTTAGATGCCAAACCACAGAGGTAAATATTTAATATCATATATGTAAAACAAAGAACAATTAAATTATTGTTAGTGTAATAAGTGAGGTAATTTAAATTATAAATTTGTTTGTTTGTTTTAAGTGGATATTCCTGATATTGCTTTTTATTACAGTTTCATTGAATTTGATGTAATAAGTTAGGTAGTTTATTAAGATATACCAATACTTGACCCTGCAAAATAAATTGAATATTTTTGTAAAATATACCAGGACTATATTCAGTCCGTGTTAAGTCATAGGATGAAGCAGGGGTGTTAAACACTTTACTGCTATGTTGAATTTTATGGTTATTTACCTACCGAGTACGGTTGCGATTCTTGACCCTGCTTGCAGTACCTGTGAGATGGATTGTATGTACCTCATCTCATAACATTTCTCTGTTTCCAGGTTTGACATTGAGGGCAAACCCCATGTACTTCGTTTTGTTGAAGCTTTATCTACTGTGCTAATTAATGGACAGCCTATCAAAGTTGAATTTGGTGGACTTCCGAAACCCATCGTTGTTCGTGGCAAAAAGCATTTCATACGTTTCACAGTGTTACCACGTGGCATCAGGCCTGGATACATAAGCATTGTTAACATGGAAGGTGGTCGATTACAGTCGCCTCCTCAATTGAAGAATGAAAATAATGACTCCATAGGCTTTGGTGAAGATTCCAATGATACATCAAGCAAATTCACTCAGGGACATGATCCAGTGCTACCAGCTATAGGCAAGTGTTACTTTTTTTGTTAATGTGGGAATACATACTCATATTCCTTTAAATAGCTATTGGCCTTAATCAGTTTCCAGGGATTCTATAAATATTTTTGTGAATGTTGTTAATTTCGTACATTAGAATTATACGTGACGTCCATTATTTGATGTATATTAATTATACAGAGCATTTTGGTAGTTGGTTCTATGCCCTCATTATTTTTATTGTTTTTATATTGACATGTTCTAGGCTTGTTTACATCACTGGAATTTTTTTTAATTGATCCATCTGTCTGTCTGTGTATCATGTAAGAACTCATGAATGGTCGAATGGATTGTCATGCATTCTTATATTAGAGAGTTTTACTAAATTTTGTTGATATGTTACAATTTTAAGTAAGATCAGATATCAATAATGGGCATTTGCTTGAAGACCTACATGTGTTTTTGCATAAGGAAATGACTTGATGTGGAATCTCTTGCTTTGCTGACAGAGAGTTTACTCTTAATATTGTAGCTGAGAAATTAGGTAGTTTTGTTAATTCCTCTGTCATGTCACTGAAAGGAAATCAGTTTCTCTGTGTTGCTGTGACAGCCTTTGTCTAATATTTATTATAAGAAGAAACTTTGAAAACGTAAGCATTAACGCATCACAGGAAGTGGGTACCTAGTGTCGGCGCAGTTGCTTTCTCCTCATCCGCCAGTACAATACATTATAATTCTTCCTCGATTTACGCCGCTTCGGCTAACGACCCTGAGGAGGTGGAATGCAACCCCTGCGTAAATCGGGGCCTAGCTGTATATGATTTTGTTCGAAACAGCAAATCCTCATTTCCATGTTTGTATAATTTTTTTCATACCAGCCACTTTCCACTTGCAGAGACATGTATTTCCTTCTGTGAAATGTGCAGTGATTTTGTGATATATTTTACAGGTGGTCCCTTTTGCTACACCACATTTCTACATTGGGTTTGTCTGTGTGCATATGTCTTTCACTTCTACATTTAATATGATCTAGCATACTGGAATGCATGTAACTTAAATTGTGTGATGTAGCTCATTTGTTTATTGCCTGTATTTCAGTGTCAGCAGCTCAAAAGTATGTATAATAATGGTGCAACTGCTACTAACAGTATGAACCACCTGGTTGGTTGTCACAGAATCACTACAACCAATATCTGTCAAGCTTAAACATTTTTAATTTCAGTTGTACTTTAAAATTAATGTAAAATTTTGTTGTTGGTTTTCTTCCCTATTTCCTTCTTAAAATCCAGGGGCAGCTTATGTTCATGTAAATGTGGGATAACAATATATAATTCAGAGTTATGAAAAGTTTAAAATTTAGGAATTATTTAAAAACATAAGAGTTTGTTAATGTTATATGGACTGTTTATTGGGCATTACAAAGAAAAGTGGAAATCTTGAAATTTACATTTTTAAAACTTTGTATGCTTCAGTTCTTTTGATATTTCTGAAGTAGTTTTTTCCCAGTCCTGGGTGTTTTTCTTTTGCTTCCATTGCCCCTGGCTACAGGACAGCTGACTTCATTGTATAATTGTCAGCTATATTAATAATGGGGTTTTGTTGTACTTGTGTTTTTTAGGAAGTACTGCTAGTTCAAGTGGGCGAAATATTAGAGGCCACAGAAGGCCATTTGGCGCAGATAGGGATCGCGATTCACCCCATGAGAATGAACATACAAGGAACTCACCAGTGCAATTCCTTGGGGATAACGCTGTGATGGGACCAGCTGTTCCTATTCAACAACAAAGACATAGACCACGTAAGTTATTTGTTTCATTATTTTGCTGGTATATCATGTTAGAGTTCATGTATGATTTGAGGTTTTCACAGCGGTGAATATGATGATTTCTGTCTTCTGGGTTGTAGCACCATGTAGTCTGGTTTACCAACTTTTCAGGGGGTTTTGCTACTGCCATCATCAGGGTGATGAGTCATAACTTTGCTTAATAGCTGTCACCACTGTGCTTTTGACTTAGATCTGTGTGGTAATGGAGGTGAACTTCCTTGGCCTTGAAGCATGCAATTTGATAATAGCCTTTAGTAAGCAGTGCTTTAGGGATTTGTATTGAATTATTTGTACCTCAGAAGGACAGTTACCATTGGAAATGTTGACAAGCTTGATGCCAACTGTGATGGCACCAGCTTCAGGGTTCAGCTACCAAGTGGAGCAAGACTCTGAGGATGGTCAGCCAAGGGTCCAGGAAATATCTTCTCAGGTTCCAGAACCTGGTATGTATAGCGGCTTCGTCAGTCAACAACCGTGACACAGCTGCTATTGTGCTCAGCTTCAGAGTGTATTAACTTGTAATATATCTGTGGTAGGTGTTCAAGAATCGTCGTTACCTAGCACTGGAGCTAGCAGCATCCCTTTTCTTCCAACTGAGATAAATGTGGTTGAGCTTTTCCACAAGCTTGTGGCAACAGGAATTGTTCCACAGGCTGAAAAAGCAGATGCAGAGAGTAAGAAAGAGGAAGAAGTGAAGTCCATAAAACCTGTGGACTTCAAGCAGCCTGAAACATTGAAAGTGTAAGTATTTAATATTTAAGAATTTTGTGTATTTGATTTAGATATGGTATTATTATAAGCATAATTTTCTCTCTCTTTTTTATTTATTTATTACTCATCAGCACTGTCTTTGCTTCCAGACGTCAGCCTGGCGTAGTGGCGCTCCTGTATTCTGGCATTCAGTGTAGTTCGTGTGGTGTTCGTTTCCCTCCCGAACAAACTATGAAGTATAGCCAGCATTTGGATTGGCATTTCCGTCAGAACAGACGTGACAGAGACAATGTTCGCAAGGCTCAAAGTAGAAAATGGTATTACGATGTCTCCGATTGGATTCAATTTGAAGAAATTGAAGACTTGGAGGAAAGAGGTATGTTGTGCTACTTGTATCTAGTGGATTTGAGAATGGGATAAAGGCTGCCAGAACATGATGCTAAATAGGCCCAATCATCTCATGTCTTGAGCCAGTGTCTGAAAATAGATTTTGACTACCCGCATGTTCCCAGCATGGTGCTTATGGAAAGTGGTAACATGGAGATTGATTGCAAATGTTGACGTGTAATTCTTTTTAATTTTCAGCTCAGAGCTGGTTTGAAACACAGCAGGCTGCTGAAGGAGACGAGAAGGAGGTTCAAGAAGTTCCTAGTGTTTGTGCAGGAGAGAATCCTGAAGACACATTTTGTGCCGTGTGCCATGACAAATTTGAACAGTTTTATAATGAAGAAAGGGAAGAGTGGCACCTTCGTGCAGCGCTGCGAGTCGATGGGAAAACCTATCACCCACTTTGCTATGATGACTACAAGGTTGGCATTTTCATTAAGGTGTTACAGTTACTCTCAGGAACATTTTCTTTGAATATGCAAATAAGGATAACAAGAATCTATTATGCTATAAACTGAATTACCATATAACATGTATTTCTAGCAGCTGTATGTGTCCATATCAGTTGTATCTTACTGTAGGGAGGAAGGGGTAGTATGACATTATCTATGAATGTTCTGCTCCAAAACTGCCAAAAAAATATATTTCTTCTATAACAAAAATACCATTGCATAGAAGATTATCAGTTGGTGAATACCTACTTTGTCGCCCTTGGTGGACTAGTGGTTAGCGTGCTCGCCACTGGACCCCAAGGTTCACGGGTTCAGACCCGGCCGAGGTTGATGGATTTTTAAGGGTGATAAAAATCTGTAGCACAACTTCTTTCGGAGGGGAAGTAAAGCTGGCGGTCCCATGTCGTAGATTTACGGCATGTAAAAGAAACTTACGAGCATGAACAAGATGTTTCGTAAGCAAAATTCAACTGCCTTTTTTCACCCAAATCTCCTGATTCACTACTAGATGGCTCTAGCATACAAATCAAGATTGAGTAGAAATTGTGCAGAAGCAGTGGGCTTATCTCTCATTACTCATAAATGCACATTTAAAAGACAAAGAAACCTCCCACACAGGAGGAGGCCAAGGCTCTGTTCAGGCTGTTATGCCATAGAAAAGAAAAGAATACCTGCTTCCCATTATATAAATGTGGTAAACATGGTATAATGAATTAAGCTTAGTTGAGGCACAGACATAATAATTATGGTTGACACAACTGACACAGCCATATAGAATTGTATTGTAGATTGTAAATCGTAGAATTTTGTACTACCCAAATAAAATCCTCAAATATGACATGCATTATTGTTGGCTGTGTCTCACTAGCATACCACTATGTTTACTCCAAAGTTCAGGGGTTTGAATCCTTTAGGATAAAAGTTCACATGTATATGTCATAATGCTGATATTGTTTTATTTTATACAGTGTTCTCACTTATTTACTTGCATTTTGACTATAATTATTCGTCTGACAACAGTTGTTCTCTGGGATTTGAAAAATTAATTTTGTTTTGTACCTGCAGGCTTCACTTGAGGCATCAGTAGAAGAACCAGCTGTCAATGAAGAAGCAAAAAGTAGTGAAGTAGACATGAAGGCTGATGAAAAGAAAACAGATGAGAAGAAAGAGGAAGAAAATAATGCAGTGGCAATGGATACAATTAAGAAAGAAGAACCAAGAGACAGTAAGTTGAAATGTCATAATAATATGTGTCAGGTCCCATTTAAAATTTCTATGAACCCATGCAGTTTCTTCCTGTTTCTGAATGCCCAAAAATGAAAATTCAAGTAATTGGGAATTACAGATTAAACTTGCACAATTAAGAAATTACGTGACTGGGTGATAAGTTTGTTTGAAATGTGCATTCAGTGAGCAGACTTTGTCTTTTGTGAAGGAAAGCAGTTTTTTATGTGGTGCTACTGTATTCAGTGTCTTGCTAAAAGTTATGGAACTCAAATTTTAATCTTATATCTTAATTGCATCATGCTTGTGTTCCTCAATACAATACTTTTATTTTCCGTCGTTACACAAGCTTATTGTTAAAAATCATATAAAATTTCACAATGTAACAATTTTATGTGAAATTTTATATGATTTTTAACAATAAGCTTGTGTAACGACGGAAAATAAAAGTATTGTATCAAATTTTAATACTGGAGCTTACACTAACATGGAAATTTAATTGTCACCTGCTCTCATCATTTGCTTTTTACAATTAGTAAAGTAAGGTGCCTGGCTGAAGCACATTAAAACAGGTAACACCTCTTTTTCTTTTACACATAGCCATAACATATGGTGCATCAGAATGAGGGAAAGTTGTAATTTTGTTGTCACAAAGTTCTGCGTGTGAATTGTCTTGTATGACCATAACCTGTGAGGGACTGATGTGTGTGGCACCAACAGTCTTCTAACACAGTAGTTTATTTCATTGCTTGCTTCATTTACTGGACATGATGATTTTTTTTTTGTAATCTGTTGGAAACAAATGAAATTTCATCCCTCCCTGATTTTGCAGTTAAATTGCCATAAGATAACTTTACACCATTTTTTAATGCTTTTTAGTTTTCTGTCTAAAATTTGGGTTAATATTAAGACAGAAAGTTGGCTTGTGGTTAAAGGGATACAGTCCATATGTTCAAAATATTTTTACTTCTTAATTTACATAATATTAATAGCTATTCAAATGTAATGCAGTTATATGTGGGTGCTTTGTACTGTGTCCCAAGGATGATCGTGTGAAATATCCAAAGTAAACCTGTTACTAATAAACAGATTTATTTACAGAAATTGAAAACAATATTTTGTTGAGAAACCGACAAAATACATTTGGAAACAAATCTTACAACAGGGAAATGAACTTTAATTGCAAATATTGTGATAATAATAATCATATGAAAATGTAATGAATAGAATCCATTCTTTTTATTTAAGTATGGTTGTTTTATGAATTGTCAGCTTTATACAATTAGGTTAGACTACTCATTCCTAGATGTAAAAAAACGATCCCTTCCATGTTGATAAATAGTGCATAAACACATTTTCCGTTCTGATAACTTTCCAAAAGGTAGTGAGCAAAAAACATGGACAGTTTACCTTGAATATCATTCTCACCTCCATTTAATTTTGTATTTGTTATGAAGCCAAATTATTTAAATTAATTTATGTTTGAGCTACATCCTAGACACTGACCATAAAACTTGCTTCTGTTTCTCTAGGTGAAGAAGTTGCAACTGAAGAAGAAAAAACTGATGATGTTAATAAGGTAGATGATATTGAAAGCAAGTTGGAGGAGGTGAAACTTGAACCTCCAGTGGATGAATACCCAATAAAAGAGGACATTCAGGAAACTATGGATACTGCAGAAATTGTAGAACCGGAAAGCGAGGTAAAGGCCGAGCCAGAGCAAATTGAAACTGAGGATGCAATTGGGGAGGATGATGTACAGCCTATCGCTCCCACCACTGACACAACACACACTGCCGTAGCATGTTCCATTGATGGTAATGTTAAATTTGAGGACTCCCCAAAAATTTCATCTGGTCCTATTTCAGGTAAGATTAAGATAAACATCACAAAATCCTTTGCTTCCATAGCAGCAAAGGAACCCCAAAGTGAAGGAGCGGTAGAAACTATGGTAACAGATCAAAGTCCTGATAATGATGATCCAGTATCTACTGAAGCCAATAGAGACTCCAGTGAAGAAGCAATAGGTGAGGAAAATGTGGATTCTCAGGAACCTCCTCCCCCTGGTGTTGAACCTGTACAGTTAAAACCTCGATTAGTGGGAAGAAAACTTACAGACCTACCCCCGGTGATGAAAGGAACAGAACTCTCTGGATTATGTTCTATAATGTGAAGTGAGTTCAAATTACGCTTTAAGCAATGCATACAAATAGTTCTTGGATTTGTATCACTGTGTAAAAATGATAGTGAAGATTGTGATAGTGTGTAAAATACCTTGGGACTTGAGGTAAAGAAGTAATATAAATGCATTTTTATTTCGATTGCATAGTATTAGATTTCATTTTTGCATTTGAAGTGTGTCATGATTTTTTATTGGAACATTTTAGTTTCTTGTATAAAGGTTTCATTTTACCATGTGTATTTGTATAGTTCATATGTATTCATATTTTTTGAGAAAATGTTTGTTATATAAAAAGATAGTATCCATTTCCTGTTTCCCATCCAACAGAGTTACTTTCCAGTAAAATGTTTCTAGGAAATGAACACTATCATTTTGAATCTGTTTTGTGAAAAATATAATTTTTGCAAATTATTCAGTGTTCACTTTTAATTTCATGGACTTATATGTATCCTAGTTCCTTCATTCCAGTAGAAGAATGCACATAAAACATGTATTTCAGAACCTGGAGCAGTTTCGTTTATGACGATCACTTTTAGTTAATAAAATGAATTAAAATGCAAGTTTGTTTCGTTATTTACCGTAATTCCTTCCACCAAATCTCCAATTCAAACATAACCACACCATCAACTTCAATTTATACTGATAACAACACCAGAGGGATATCATGGCACTTGAAATAAAGGACAACAATCACAAACACTTTAATCAATTAAAAATTGTACAAATTACAGTCAATGGATATAACTTTATAACTTGCAGTTGTGAGGCCATCGAGGGAATGGTATTGTATCCTTAATGTTTGGAATACCCAGGATCACTTGCAAGAACCTTTCAAAACCCATTCCAAAACCAGCAGATGGTACATTGCCATATTCTCGGAGTTCCAAATACCATCCCAATGCTTCATACAAACCTGACTTCTGCAATTTATCCTGGAGAAGTGAGAAATTGTCTTCACGAAGACTGCCACCACAGAGTTCTCCTACTTGAGGAGCTAGAAGATCAAGAGCTGAAACCTGGAGAAGATGCGTGCATTGATTCAACATACAGAAATAATAATATATCAATAATAACTTTAAATGACAATCACTACTTACTCAAATCCACAGGTTTTCTGAAATACATCTTGAGATTCTTAATTTTATGCATTTTAAATTAGAGGATTTCTGTTTTACTTGATCCTTTATAGTCCAATATTTCTGTGTATCACAAATTGCAGTGTCAATTTTTAACCTCAGCATTAGCTGGAGGTCTCTGATTAAGTTACTCCACTTAAATTTCTAACAATTGAGTGTGGCAGGCAGTATGATTTAGGGCTTACAAAATTCTTCAACGCTGCCTTGTTGTATACATAATTATTGTAAACAGAATCAAATTCAGTGGCGGCTTATGGGGTGCATAATAAATACCATTTTAGACATGGAAATCATACTCATAACACTACATATTTCATACAAGTGAAATACAATTTTATAGTTTTTCTGCCAAAGAGAAAATATTCATTTGGATTCTACATGGATACAGATCAGATTATTTCTGTCTTCTGCATTGCGCTGTGTAGTCTGGTTGATGTTAACCAACGTTTCAGAGGTCATACCGCCTCCATCATAAGGCCATGAATTTAGAAATTCTAAATCTTCATTTTTATAAAAACGAACTGGAAATGACAATTGCTGCTGGATTTTTATTGTCTCAATATGAAGGATGGGCAGTATTACAGTTTTATTCATCAGACTAAGATTAAAATAACTTTTAAAACTTCACCTCAACAGTCCCTATGATTTCTCACTAACTGATTCTAAAGATTGCTGTCTTCTGGGTTGTTGCAGCATGTAGTCTGGTAGAAGTTTACCAATGGTTCAGAGGTCCTTGCTGCCTCCAGCATCGCCCTGATGATGGAGGCAGCAAGGACCTCCGAAATGTTGGCAAACATCTACCAGACTACATGGCGCAACAACCCACAAGACAGCAATCTTCAGACTCACCATTGTGAAAGCCTCAAATCCAACTGAATTCTTCAATAAATCTTCCTCTTATTTTTGAATTTTGCATTTTAATTCCTATTGAACATAAAAGGCAATTATGAATGAAAATTACTGTTCAATAAAATCCTCTTCAACTATGTCAAAGTTTAGTTAAATACCATTTTGGAGACCTGTTGTCAGGGTGCAAGAAACTGCAATTTCAGTTAATAAATCTGAATATTCTGATACAGTGAAAATCACTGCATGCATCATTGTTTGAATTTCACCCAGAGGTGGCAACTCTTTAATTTCAAAAATACATATGACATTATGTGCTTTTTAGATAATGTAATGGATACACTTTTTAATGTTCTATAATGTACCAAAAGTGACATATAAATAAAAGTTTCCAATGAAATTACTGAATGATACTTCAGTACATCTGCAACATTTTAAATTACAGCATAATTACCGTAAGTAATCCATTTCTCATCAAAACCATCCATTTTCATCTGAGAGAAAAAAATTACATCTTGAGAAATATTGGCAGGGGCAAGATGGTCAAATGTCACTGACCTCAGATAAGTGATACCATTTGCAAAGGTCAATGTCAAAGTAAGGCAAACATACCTGCATTTTTACATTTCCTAACATTTTTCTAACCTATGATCAGCCATGCTTTATGACATACAATCGATCCAGGTGACAGTATGTTGTAATTGCATACCATTAAACCCATGGTTTAAGTCAGCTGACATCATAATCAATTACAATTTTAAAAAACAATGCTAGGCTATATTATAATTAATTTATTTTAATTGCTTTAAAATACCTTTGAAACATCCTGTAAACTCTGTTTCATATAGAATGGTTTAATGTCACTGGGCCAATCTACGATAAAGATGGGGCAATCACCAGCATATTTCACAAGGTAAAGTTCATGTTCTTTCCCGAGTCCTTGACCTTTCTTTACTTGTGAAACAAAATTTCCAGAGTGCCTGCCTAAGATATCAATGGCTTGTTCATATGTCATGACTTCAAATGGTTTCTGAAGAAGAGATACTACAGGGCCTTCATTTCCATCAGATGAATGTAGCAGTTCTACATCATCAGCACACTTTTGCATCACTTGGCTTGTAACATTTTTTATCAAATTTTCCATGATGTTCATGAGCTCCTCTAGTGATTCAATAAATGCAGCTTCTGCTTCTATCATGTAGAACTCTGCTAAATGTAGCCGAGAACGAGAGTTCTCTGCACGGAATGTTGGCCCAAATGTGTAAACCTTACTCAGACCTCTGAAAATGAAATTTATTATGATTTATGTATGTTCCACACACACAGTGATTCTGACTACTGAAAATTGCAGTTAATAAAAATAATTACCTAACAGCAGCCTCTAAATGAAGTTGCCCTGAAACACTGAGGTATGTATTGCAGTCAAAATATGCTTCATCCATTGACATTCCATCTTTCATCATATCTTTAACCGTCTTTTCATTTTCAGGTTTTACCTGAAAGACGTCTCCTGCTCCTTCACAGTCATTTGATGTTAAGACTGGTGTATGAATGTGTATATACCCATTATTACGAAAATGTTCATTAACAGCATGTGATGCTGCATCCCGAATTCTTAATAAAGCCCCAAAAGCATTTGTTCTAGGTCTTAGGTGCAAGAACTGTCGTATGTAATCTGGGGAATACGACTTTCTAGGAGCAAATGGGTAACCATCTATTACAATACAAGGGCCAATCACAGTCACATTTTCAGCAGCTAACTCCAGCTGTCCATTTGTATTTGTAACAAGTGAGCCAACAGCTTCAACTGCAGCACCGTATGTCAAACTTTTGGGTTGCCTTGATTTAGAAATCAAAACTTGTAGCTTTTTTGAACAGGAACCATCACTTACATCAAGAAATACATGTTCCTTCATCTTTCTCATAGCTTTCACCCAACCCTGCAATAAACCAACGCCTTTTTATACCACATAGCTTAAACTTTGGCACAGTACTCAATTTTTATAATTTTATGGTGGGAAAACAAATTAGTATCAACGATATCATTCATTACAAAAACCTGCAAACCTGTGAAATCACATTCTATTTGTGTACCAAAATATGTTAATACAACAAAAGAAAATGGGGTCAGTTCTTAGTACTCTGTGGGTTGAACTTGAAAGGGCCATTTGCAACGCTCGTAACTATAATGAATATATCAGTAACCTTAACTAACAAATGCGATCCAACTGGTTCTGAATTATATATATCGACAATTCTTGTGTGTATATTCGTTTTGCCTTCAGAACAAAAGCTGCGTTTGTAAAAAACATTCCCAGTAACTCTACTCAAAAACACCCGTAGAGCCATGTTGTAGAACAAGTTTGGGCTACATCCGGTTAATCTGTGAGCTTCCGGGATGTTCGGCGATGTAAAATGCATTGATCACAGATTTCAGGATCTCTAGGCAACCTCTGGTAGAATACAACACCAATATATTTGGTGTGACTGCAAACCAGCTTCAGCGACATCTGTTATAATGTTTTATATTTCAACGAAGGAAGGCAAACGATAATCGTTCAAATTTAAGTAAAGTTATCTGTTTTAGGGTTTTAGTGCACAGATTAATCCAGTACAATTAAGTCGTGTTGGAATAAGTGAAATCTAGTAATAACAGATTAAAGACTGCTGAAGACATGGGCTGTTGCTATAGTTGTAAGGAGGATGGTTCGTCGCAGGTAGTGTTAAGTATAATACGTATGCTACTGGAGGTATTAAGTGTAATTTTGGTTTTAGTTTCCTTTCAGTAATCATTCTGCTAACAAACACGACACCCCCCATAACAAAGAGTTTGTCTTGTGACTTCATTTGAAGTGTTGACCAGTTGTGTTATATTAGTAATGAATAGAGTGACCGTTGTATTTCGAGAGTCATTTGTTGTAAGTGCCATTGCAATAATATGGCAATGACTTTTATAGGGTAAGGTAAACATTTTTGTACATTATTTAGAGTTTCAATTTAATGTTCCAGGGTGGTGAAGTCAGTGAAAGGACACATTTATTGGTAGATCCTGTTAGCAACAACACAAATATTCAGCGAGTCCAGAGGTAATAATCTGATTACTGCTATGACTTGATGTTTGCATACACATTTGTTGTTAAATAATTAAATTTTTATTCGGGTTTCTTCAGAGAAATTGTGACACTATGTACTTGTATATAGTTTATGTAATGACGCCTTTACAGTAGCGTAGACTATAGTGTCAAAACTCCATGCAAGAACAGATGTATATATATATATATATATATATGTGTGTGTGTTACTGTATGATATATGTGATTAGTGAATGGAAACAGATTAACATAATTCTATTGTTCCAGTGATGACTTCATTGGATGTTACTCAACTTCCTTGCCAAAGAAGACTGATGAGCAGTCTGCTCTTAATCGAATCCTTCAAGAAACTGCAACGTACGTTATTGATGGCATATGTTGTGTTACTGTAAACAAGCTATTTGCCATTTGATTTTTCTTTGAACGTTCTAAATATTTTTGAACATTTTTGGCCTTAGGAGTTTTGGAGTCATGTATCAACCTGTCATCATCATCATTCAACTTAATGGAATTTGCCTGTTCAGTGTATTTAGCTATATGATTGTTGTGTATTGATTCCCAAATTTGATCTCTTAGATAGGCCTACTGGTAACTGCTTTTATGTAATTTATCACTATTAGTTGAGCATTATGGTAAGATAGTCCATTTGTTACTGGTTTTACTGAATAATGATGAAATAAGTATACTTCAGTATGATTCATAATACAATTCATATGCATGTGAAATAGCATTTTTTGTTCTTTTTTTTCAGTAAATCATTTTAAAATCATCTGAAGTCAACTCATGTTACTGTATTTATGCCACAATGACTTTTTAAAATTTTAACTTGTTTTATGTGTTTCCTTTGCTGTTTGTTTTGTTTGTGCAGCAAAAATGGAAATGTTACTGTCATTTCTGCTATCCCCCCATCACCTCTAAAATACAATGTTAAGAAAATAATGGGATGGTTCTTTTCAGAAATGTAATAGATGTTGCAGCTTCAGATTCACACAATTTGGAACAGCATGAGTATTTGGACAGAGTGAAACATTATACACAAAAATTACAATCCATGTCCCGATGGACACCTCCACGACGTCCACCATGTCTCCTTGTGGACATTCCAGCTCCAGAGAAGTTGCTAGCAGCTGAACCTTTAACAGAACAAGATCTGCATTTGGTAAGTTGAAAGCAATTGAGGTGAACAGACATACCTAGAGAAACAGAATATGTGTCTGAAGATGGCTGTCTCATGGGTTGTAGCACCATGCATTCTTGTAGAAGTTTACCAACGTTTTAGAGGTCCTTCCTGCCTCCATTATCAGGGTGAAGAGTAAGCTGTACACATGGAATCAGTTTGAAATGTAAGAAACTGACGATAAAGACAGAGCCTTGGCCTGGCCAATTGGGAGTGTAGTCAGAATCGGGTGAGGGCCCTGAAACTCTTAGGAACAGGGGGCGTGTCACAGTCTGATCAGCAGGAGGAGTGAGGACGTGAGAGAGGTCCAAAAAAGCGGCCTTTATAATGGCCCCTCGGTCAGGCAGGTGGATCACCGGACATAAGGGAGGTAGTGGATGTGATGAGGAACAAGGAGAGTGGAAATAAGGACTTGCTGGGGCCAAGTTGTGTCCTGAAAAGGGCAATGTAGTAGCTCAATGGCCTAGTCAGGGTTGACAACAAAGATGTATGAAACATTGGTAAACTTGTACCAGACTACATGGCACTACAACCCAGCCAAGATGGTCATCTTCGGACTCACTGCCGTGAAAACCTCAAATCCTGCTTGGAAGTATCACTCTGAGAGCATTATAGACATATGAATATAGGTACTATAAAGTGCACAGATTTTCTGATATTTTGCGATTCAGTATACTGCAAGGGTTGTCTGATGAATTTTCAGTCGTGTGTGATTTGTTGTTTGTTATTTGATGTTTCAGATCACTACGGCTATAGAGGAGGCAGATGCTGCTCTTGTAGAACTGAGAGTAGAGCATAAAGAAGACTTAGTAGTGCCATTCAGAATCCCTTGAAATGTTGCATCAAAGCCAAATAATATAAACTGTGAATGCTGTCTGGTGTCTGCTGCAATATTTTCATGAGGATGTGAAGGCAGTTCAATTTGTGATATGAATGACTATGGGCAACATTTATATATAATGTATATATATACAGAATTTCTGACTGACTGAAGTGTTATGTGTTTATGCTTTATTGAAACTACAGACACTTTGTGTGGATGTAATGTGTATCATGCAGTAAATGATCACGAAGTTTGACATTTATTAAGCCAAAAAAGAAGTGACATTCTCTCTCTCTCTCTCTCTCTATCAGTATATATAATTATAAATGGTTTATATGTTTTAACTCTATTTAATCATGTTTGTTACATCTAATTATATAAATAAGGGATATGTAAGGTTCATTAAAAACACTGTAATAAACCTTGCATCAACTTCTTTGTGCTGTAACTTCTTAGTTGAGATAACTTGTATGAGCTTATTGTTGAAACATACAAATGATTGAGATTTATGGTTTGATAGTGGTTTTCATGACTAGTACTTTTTGTTAGACAGATTTATTTGACAGTGATAGCAGTGTGGAGGAGAGAACTTGGATTATGTGATTGTAACTGTAATTTATTTATGTTTTCTAACAGTTATTTGTAGTAATAAGCGTGTTTTGGATTAATTTCGTAATTATGAAATAGCTGTAAACTGCAACCGTTGTTCAGTATGCTATATGAAATTTTCAAGCTAAGCGAAACCTGAGAATGTCAATTATCGTAATCCAATTTCATTGCAGTCTGTGATGTTCACTATATCTATTAAGAAGACTTACAAGTCTTGTATATATGTAAAATAAATAAGATAGAAGATTTCCCCATGTAAGGACCTATACACATTCTTCTGAACACTACACTTTACTGTATATTGGTATCATCATGATATTTAGCTGTTTATCATGCTGTTACCTTGCGGAACAGTAAATAGTAGCAGAAAATACTATTTTATTTTATAATTCACACCCAGTTTTCAGTGAATTTTCTGGTCAAATACTTGGATGTGCATTAACTTTACTTTTGAAAATGGTACACATATATCTCTTGTCTATTTGACCTGTACATAAAAATGAATGTTTTTCTGCATCACAGTGGCTTGTCCACAGGGTAATCATCAATACAGGTCTGCTGCCACAATATTTTTTATTGATGCCATCTTTCGTATTAATCAGATGCGTGAAACAGAAACAGTAGTATATAACCAGTTTGGCTACTTGAGGTGCTGACATGCAGTGGTCACTCTTTTCACAATGCCATTGATTAACAATATTTAAATTGACAATCTGTCTCGTGATTTCAAGTATTTAGTTAAGACATTAACCTCTAAAAATTACATTCCTGGTAAATGTACATTTATAATAATTTCAGGGAAAATACTGCATCATTCACTAATTGTTTGATCTTCACACACATCATCTTACCAGAGGAACTAAACTCTCTCATGAAATAAAAAAAATTATAAGAATCTAACAAAAGAGGAATATGTGCTCAAATTTTACAGATATTTTCCAAATGTTTGCTGTGTGATGTGTAGGATTACTTCATTAACCCTGATGTTCATTTGTTACTGATACAGATTTTACTTCCCCATCAGATGAAAAAGGTCAGTTGAATTTGTTATTAAATATCACAATTGAAAGCTGGAGAAAATATTAGTGAAATTAATGATATGGGATAAGAGTGACCAACATGTATTATCTATTGTTATAAAGTATTCATACAGCTTAGTCAAAAAATTTATTTTCTTGTTCCTATACAAACCTTATTAGCCTTGATGCGTGAGTACTATTACAAATGTATTTTTCCATCAAGACATCCTTTTTTGCCCGTTTCGTTGATGAAATTATTGATCAAATTCAATTGAGGCATTGCAAAATTAATCCGCAGTACATAGCCAGAAATTATTTTGTTAAATATCCATCAAATCAAGAAAAATGTATTCTTAATTAGGTTATGTTTTATGTCTCATAATTTGTTGTTTAATTGCATTTGAAACAAACCACCAAATTTATTTTTGAGCATCACATAAAGGAGGGTTGATATAATTTAAAATTGACAACTTTCCATGTAAACATCCAAATTTCATCAGAATGCATCAGGTAGTTTCAGAAATTTCAATGGATTTTAAGAAAAATAAGTTGTGATGATATGAAGTAGTAGCATCTGCATTCTGATGATGTAACCTTTAATTTTCATAACAAGGAATTTTAAGAGAAAGATATTTTGGCCTACAAAATGTCTGGACTGTAAGTATATGTACATCTTTCTTGTGTCTATCATCCTCAGGCCTTCGTGATTTGTTATGGATCTTTCAAAATGTTCCCATATTTTGTCTTCCTAAGCATCTTCTGATAGATATTTCAAGTCTGTGTAGGGGTCATATTGAAACAAACACTTGGAAAGTAAATGTTTAGTTCTTGATAATACTAAAATTGCTTCATTTAATACATTCTGTTTACTGTGTGCTGCTGACAAAATACACAATGTAGCTAGGCATTTCAGTTTCATCTATTTGTTCACCATATAAGAAAACAAAATGTTTTCCTTTATGTTGTGCTGATTAGATCCCACGCATGAGCATGTGGTCAAGGTTCACTTTAATTAAGTTATACATACATGAGGTTCTGAAGTTTGACCTTTAGAATTCCAGCATCCATGTTCTATACATTATTGTTTCAAGTGTCACTTTCATTTGCATGTGACCTAAAGCATTCTCTAAAATCATTTCTAATCAGTCATCAAACTGCTTTCTGGAATTTGCAGAGTTATAATTCTCATTTGTTATGCAAATGTACTGAAATAAATGTTCTTAGCAAAGAATAATATATAACATTGCAAAAACAATTATAATTTTGGTTCACAGTGTGAATTTTTATCTCAGGTGAAATAAATTCAAAATGTAAAACTGCCAGATTGCTTGATACAAAATTGTGTGCTTTTTATACTATAATAATTACCACTACATTGTCATTTAACAAATATACATGTACTGATTATCAAAATAACTGTTTATATATTGATCATCCCAACTTGTTTAAACTATTCTGGTCATCCTAGTTTTCTTTGCAGGTTATGTAAAGACATACCACTCACATAGGTTATTATGATGCACAAACATAAGCAGTTGTACACACCAACTTATCCTGTCATATGAAATGTTAGCATGAACTAAGAGTGATGTTAAGCCTCCTCAGTAAAATTTCTAGGCTATACCAAAGATAAACTAAATACATAGATCAAAGTCCTTTTTGAGAAGTTAATATTTGCTTAGCTACTACATGAGAAATTCCTGCCTTTTATGGGAGGTGAAGTGCTCACAACCTATTTTACTATCCTCAGCCAGATGAATCCAGTGCATATGCTCCCACTTTAGTTCTTCAATTTTCACTTTAAAATTATCCTCCCATATGTTCTCCTTAGTGCCCTGTCCTCCATCATCCTCAATTGATGTTCTTCCTTTCATATGAAACACCCAGTTTCATATTCTTATGAAAGAGGCAACATTTTAGTTTGCTGTAGTTTCCATCTAAATCTTTTAGATAGGACTTGCCATTGGACAACAATTACATGACAACAGCATGGACTTTTAGAATAAGATATTTTGGATAGATTTTTTTAAACTCAGCAGACAGCTTAATGGCACAGCATTTAGTCTGTATTCAAAGAGTAACTGATTAGAAACAATGTGAAAATCTTCTAGGTCTGTGTCAGATTTTTACACAAGGAAATGAAAAAATAATGCACAAAACATTTCAGTTACAAATAAATAATTCCCAGTCAATTTATTTAAAACTATTTATCTTTACATATTTCTTTTAACATATTTGTACATAAGTTTTAGTAATAACTTGCATCCACAAAAATAATTAAGCCAGCTGTGACAACTTCCAGTAAGTTTATATTTTAATACATCAGAAAGCAACTGCAATACTGAATCCATTCAATGTTATTTATGAAAATAATAGAATATAATGCATTTTCAAATAGTGCGACATTCATTTCATAACAAATTTTATAACACTGAAAGAAACAGAACATCTAGCCGGTATTATTATGTGTACTATTTGATGCCACTGTTGATATTTGTGGTGTTACTGG